GGACTTAAACCCGACAGAACATACAGAACAAAAAATTATGAATCAAGGTTCAGAAGATATTCCCGACATATCAACAGCTGAAATTTACCATGCTCTAAAGAAAATGAAAAAAAAAAACAAAGCACCAGGAGAAGATGGAGTAGTGGCGGATGCGCTAAAAATCGGAGGCTCTTCTCTCATCAGGACAATCAAGCAGCTCTTCAATATATGCTTAGAAAACCAAGCAATACCAGCTGAATGGAATAATTCTATAACGCTCCTCATGCATAAGAAAGGAGATCAAACAGACCTCGAAAACTATAGGTCAATCAGTCTTCTAAGTCACTTGTATAAATTATTTGCTCGAATTATCACTGCCAGAATTGAGAACAAACTAGAAACATGCCAACCAAGAGAACAGGCAGGTTTCCGCCCCGCCGTATGGTACAAATGACCATCTAACTTGTCTAAAGGCCCTAATTGAAAAAACTATAGAGTACAACCGGCCACTAGTTCTAGTATTTGTTGACTATAAAAAAAGCCTTGACACTATCGAAATGGTAGCTATCTTAAGAGCTTTGAGAGATTGTAGAATCGACTACCGATATACCAGCATTATTCAACATATATATGCAAATTCCACAACAGCAATAATCCTCCACACCCCTACTCAAAAAATAAAACTAAAAGGGGAGTTAGACAAGGAGACAACATGTCACCAAAACTATTCAATGCCGTAATGCAGCATGCATTCCAGATGTTAAAATGGGAAAACAGAGGTTTGAGTGTCGATGGCGAAAGGCTGAACCACCTACGATTTGCAGATGACATAGTTCTAATAACCGACGACCTAAAGGAGGCCAACGAAATGCTACAAGATTTTAAAACGAGTCTCCCAAAAAGTAGGGCTGGAAATAACTTTACGAAAACTAAAATGATGACCAACTTAGTACCTAGTGGACCATTGAAACTAGAAAACTGGCATATTGAAACGGTTGACAAATACATATATCTGGGTCACGAAATACAAATAAGTAGAGACAACCAAACATGCGAATTATCTAGAAGAATAGCTTTAGGATGGGCAGCCTATGGCAAGCTAAAAGACGTGTTTAAGGAAAACATCCCAATAAAGCTAAAGAGAAAAGAATTTAACCAGTGCGTACTTCCGGTGCTCACTTATGGAGCTGAAACACTGACATTGACTAAAGCATCAATAAAAAAGTTACAAGTAGCACAACGAAAAATGGAAAGATCTATGCTTTGAGAGATCGAATACGAAATGATGAGATACGGCGAAGAACTGAGTGGAAGACGTCATAAAACGGATTACAAAGTTGAAGTGGAAATGGTCAGGACACGTCGCAAGACAGAGAGACAACAGATGGACAAAGAAGATTTTAGAATGGCGGCCAAGGCAGAGAAGCGAAATCGTGGAAGACCACCTACCAGATGGACGGACGACATTAAAAGAATAGTGACAAACTGGATCGCAGCTGCACAGGACAGAGAAGAGTGGAGACATCTTGAGGAGGCCTATGTTCGACAGTGGACAAATTTGGCTGTGTGATGATGATGTCTGATACTTCTTCTGCCGATTGGTGACGTATCTCTTGCTATTTTGACGACACGGGTCTCTTCCCTTATGCTTATGTGTACATTCATTTATACACTGTACGTTACATTTTCTTTTAATGTCTTCACTTCTCTTTCGATCTCTCAGCGTATTTCCTGTAATTCTTTTCAGTACTCTCATCTCTGCCGTTTCCAGTAGTTTTTACGTTGTTGCTGTGTCGGGTCTTGTTTCTGAGGCATATGCCATTATTGGTCTTACACTGTCTTTATAAATTCTTGATTTTATCTCAGTATTAATGTGTCTGAGTGTTATATTTTCCCCATATAGTGTTATTAAGACATCCTGCCAGTCTATTTGCCTTTTTACTTGATCTCTCACTTCCTTGTCCAGGTCTCCATAGCTAGACAGTGTAATTCCCAGGTATTTTAGTTCTATTACTTGTTCAATACTGATGCCATCAATTGCTATTTTACATCTGGTTGGTTCTTAGCTGACTGCTATTGTTTTAGGTTTCTGAGATAAGATTATCATATTAAATTCTTTTGCTCTTATGTGAAATCTGTGGACCAATCTTCGCAGACTATCTTCATCTTCTTCTTCTTCTTGATGTGTCTATCCGTTACGAATATTGGCGATCATCATGGCAATCTTTATCTTATCTGCAGCAGCGCGGAAAAGCTGTACCACAGCCACCTTTACTTCCTAGCCATGAAGTAAAAAAGGCAACACCGCATTCTATGACGTCGGTAGTCCGATAATCAGCTGTAAGGTCTACCTAATTAAACGAATTTGAATTTTAGGAAACTGATATTTTGAAAACTTCAATGCATTACAGAAATATTTTTAGGGAAATTAAATGAATAAAACCTTATATTTACCTAATAAATATATATAAAGTTTTATTATAATTTAGGTTATATTATCAATAAAATAATCACTAGAGTAAAATTTATTGCACTTAAAATACAGTGTCAAACAGTTAATCTTACAATCAAATGCAGTCAAGAATCTCTAGAAATTTTTAAATATTAAGTACTTAAGCATATAAATAACACAATACATTAACACGACATTTAAAAAGATTATTAAAAATACAAGACATAAAATTTGTTCAGTAAAAACTTTGTTTTAAAATTTGTTTTAAAAAAACAGTGTAACTATTATAATTAAAAAATTCATCCTAAGAAATCAGACACAGTATAAATATGGTTCTAAATTAATCTAATTGAAAATTAAATATTTTACTATTTACTTATAACTTTTGTTGAATTTTCATACTTAGGTATACGAAAGTAGCAATTTTAAATAGGTATGAATAGGTTTTTTGTCATATAGACCAAGTTAGGAGAGGTATACTTGAAAAATGTGTTGAATGTAACATACCATTTATAACTTGTATATCGATTTAAAAAAGCCTATATTCTCAAAAGATTTTTGAATGTAATACTCAAATTTGTTATCACCTATCTAAAAATCAGATCTAAATAAAAGTAAGTTCTCTAATTGTGACCATCTTGTTAATTAACTATATTGTAAAATCCATTTCAAATCATTACTACCTAATCTATTTTTACTTACATTGACGATTACACTAAAATTACTACTAACTATTACACTATGTGTTACACAAATATTATCACACTTGTGTCCCAACTGATTAATGTTTAATACATAGAAATATACAGTCACTTGTAATTTTACTTGTCCAGTTTTTCAATGGGATATTATTGTCTAAGTCTAATTGTCATAATTATGTTATCTCTTGTTCCCTCTTCTTATGCAAAAAGTTTCTTCTGTCTTCGAGATTCCTTCTTTCTTTAGTACGATGAACAGTTACATATGATGGTACTTCAGGAAATATATTAGGAACTGCATTGCCTTTTAATTTGGGAAATATTAACTTTTCAATGTGTACATTTCCAACTTTATCTTTTCATTGTTCAGTCCGCTGAATATCATCTTCATGAAAATGTTTGGCACATACTACGGAAGATTTGGTAATTGTATAGCCTTCTCTATGAATAGAGCATAACCCAGTATACCGTCTTTGGGGATCTTTGGGAAACGAAAACGTACTTTCTGCCTGTTTCGTTTTTAAAGTACTGGCATAATTGGTTTTGCAACCAGGTACACAACAATGCCAGAGCATCTGTAACAAAAAACAAAAGTATTATTATTGGTGGTTTTAGTTTACATATTTTGTAACAAGAAGCAAAAGTATTATTATTTTCAGTTTGTTTTGTAGGTTATATTTATACTTGCCTTTTAAATTGTCGTTAAGAATCTTCTAAAAGTTCTAAATTTAATGAAATTTCTTTTATATTAATATTTTCTAATTAATTTAAACACAAATTTACAAATAAAACATTCGAATAAAGTTAAAAAAACACTAAATTCAACAAACTTTACAAGCCTTCCTATATGAAATTTTAAACAAAACAAACCACAAACCACGGTCGGACTACCACGCGTTGTTGCCAAATTTCTACTTCATGGCTTGGAAGTAAAGGTGGCTGTGGCTGTACAGATGTATTGAACCAGATTCTGAGGTTCTTTAACCAAGATGTTCTTCTTCTTGGATCTCGTTTTCCAAATATTTTTCCTTGCATGATGGCTTGAAGGAGAGCATATATCTGGATTCATTTCGCATAATAATCATCATATTAGGCTATCAATATTGCGTCGTCTGCGTAACAAAGTATTTTGATTTTCTTTGTTTCCCATTATGTATCCTCTTTCTTTGTTAACGCTTTTGATAATTTCATCCATAATCGAATTGTAGAGCATAAGGCTCAATGAATCTCCTTGTCTTATTTCGTTGCTTATTTCTATAGGTTCTGTAAGTTGTTTATCTATTCTGACTTCCATTTTGTTGTTTTGGTAGATGTTTTTTCGATAGTTTTTATAATATTTAGAGGAGCTTCTCTATTATACAGAAGATGGATTACATCTTTAAGTCTTACTCTATCAAACGCTATCTTTAGGTCAATCAGACACAGAAATACTGGTCTATTATACTCTAGTGATTTCTCAGTAATTTACTTTATAACGAATATTGCATCTGTACACGATCTTCCACTACGAAAACCCTGTTGCTCATCTGCTAAACTTATCCTCTGATTTATTAGCAGCTGTAAAATTTTAGTTGTAAGTTTTAGCGTAGTATTTAATAAGTTTATACCTCTGTAGTTTTCTGACTGTTTCTTATTTTTCTCCATTTTTCCTATATTTTATTGTTTTATAATTTTATCAATTAATGTTGTTAATTGTTCTGTCATTGCTGCTCCACAATATTTCAGTAACTCGTTTGGTATTCCCGTCTTTACCTGCCGCTTTTCTATTCTTCAGGTTTTCATGTTTAAATTAATGGAAACAATAAAATATATAGATATAAATTTTAACAGCAAAAATTTAATTTCTTTAACAGTGGAAACATTTTTTGTAGATATCCCTACAGCAACAGTGATGTGGGTGCCTATACGCCATACTACACAGGCCAGACGCAAGTCCAGCCTAACAGTATAGGTTACGATATATCCGCGGACTATGTGGATAGCACCACTGCCTATGATCCAAGGCCGGGCCTGGATCCTCTGAATGATAACACCAGCCTAATGACAAGTATGGTCACTGCAGGTAAGATTATTAATTAGTCTAAAATATGCTAAGGATACGTTAAGCTGAGATAAACTGAAAGTTAAACTTCTGGTGTATATAACACTTAAAGCAACAAAAAATTATCTAGAAAATTATCATTAAAAGTATATTGGATTGGAGAGAAAGAAATAAAAAATAATAAAATGACGTACATATTTATTTTTTTAAGTTACATTTCTTAGGTAATTCAGTTGGTATAAGCGTTTTAAATGTTTGATGCAAATAAAGAAAGTGGTTAATATAGAAAAGAAGACACGAAGAAATTCATTTTATCTCCACCTTTCTCTAACCTGTAGTCAAAAAAAAACTTTGAACAGGCACTACAAGGCAAGCTCAATTTTTTTTTACATGATACATTTTCTTGGCACTACTGATAAAAATCAGCAGTCTTTTAATTAACAAACTATGAGATACAGATGTACCACGATGGTACGTGCTATACTAACAGACAATATCTATCAAACAGTTTCTAATAGGACGATCAATAATAATTTGAACATCAATAAAATGTTGGCATCAAAAAGTTGAGGGTCGACCCGTTTATAGAATAGAAAGAATTCTAATTAGTACGGTGAAAAGTTACATTGAGATTACATTTTTAAGAGGACGTATTTTTTTTTTTTTTGATGTGTGGGAATGGATGGTTAGTATATGCTTTGGGTGGATAAGTTTGTGGGGTCGCTAGATTGTCCCCCAGCCGCCATCTTGGAAAAATGATGGTAAAGGGTTTTCGCGCTACAGAAAATTTTATAAAACATTTTTCTAGTAAATTAAAGTTTCTTTAATTTTATATACATTACTTTATATCGCAAATTTGAAAATTAAAAAGTTATAAACAAAAGTAACCAAAATGTTTGAACAAATTTTCTTTTGGACCATAGATCAATATTACAGAGGATTTTTCAAAGAATAGTTTTCACTACAAATATGTCTAATTTCATCAATATATCTAGGTTTTACAGCACTCCGAAGTTGACCGAGTTCTTGAATACTCATAAGAATACAATAAAAACGAACCATTAGGCTTAGTTTTTTATTGTATATTTTTTTATTAATATAATTGATTTTGTTAATATTCCTATGGTATTATTAGTTTATTATCGACCTTTTTCCTTGCCATCTATGATGTAGAGTTTGGAGGCGCGTTTTTTGAAGTGGGATAGGCCATTAGGCCTAATACTGACAATTTCCAGGCGAGTTTTCTAGCTATAGTTTTTTCATGTTCTTTGATGATCCAGTTTGCGGTTTAGGATCTAATTCAGTGTCGAAGGTGAATGTTTGCGAAAGAACGGAAGTTAGAATGTGCGTCATTGTGGGTAATTGATGCCAATGCAGGTTTCACCAGAACAATTGAGGCACATTGCAGAGTATTTGAGGCCTACTTATCGACAACCACACATTGACAGTTTCCCCTTGCATCTGCAGAAAATTAATTTTAGAAGTTCGGAAGATGCTGGAGTTGTAAAAGTTTTGATTGGTATCCAAATTTTTGTATACTTTTTTCAGCCCCAAGCTTCAGGCGCAGTGTTTACTGGTAATAAACTCCAACACTGTAGAAATGAGCTGCATCTTGTGTTGGCGGAAGCGACGATAAGTTAAATGTAATTTTGGTCACTGTCCAGAGACAGTGATGTTAAAGACTTATCTTTATACCCATTTATGCCCACCATATAGAGAGACCAAAAAACGTTCGTCAACGACAGTGCACAAATATGCTTCGGCTTTCTCACTGAGAAATAATGCTGTTCCGCTAGCTAACTCAGGATGTTTCTGTAAAATTTGAATGAATTTAAGTTTGCCGATTTTGTAAGCTACTAATATTAAGTTGCATCGAGAATAAAACAGAGAACGGCAAAGTATGGAGAAACAGCAAAATCTCTACAATGACGTTGCCATATATAAAACTTGAAGGACAGTACAATTGATGCGACTTACACCCTTTTGACGGTTTAAAAAAATTGGACACAACATTAGACTGCTCCCTTTTTAATGCCGTGAGTAAGACAGAATGTGATAATGTCACAGAATCATAGTCTTATGAGGCAGCAAGCGTAGAGCGGATGATGGCCGACATTAAAATCCACTTCTGAGAGAGCAGTTTTGAAAATGTCTAAGTTTTTTTTGTTGTTTTCATTACCGAGAAATTTATTTTTGAATAATATGGGGTTTTTCGTGCGACATAACCGCACGAGGTGGGGTAAGTTTTATGGTTTCGGAATGGGTCGATAATAAATTTATTACAAAATTTTTAGTTGTTTTTGTTTGAACTTTTTGATTTTCCGAATAAAAGTAATAAATATAAAGTTGTAGAGAATTTAATTTGCTGCAAATCATGTCTTAATAAAAATTTTTGTAGTGTTGCTAGTTTACAAGATACAGCGCGAAAACTTTTTCAACTTATTTTTCCAAGATGGCGGCGGGGCACAATGGGCGACTCCAAGAACCTAGTTTCTAATTACCCTTCCAACACATCAAAAAAATAAAATTGCGTCCTCTAAAAATGCACGCTAAGGAATAAAAAATGTAACATTTCAATCGACTAAATAGAATTGAATCAAGACCAATCTTGGAAACTATATCTCGCACCGAAAAATCAAAACTAGCAAGTAAAATCTAGAACTAAATATCAGAATATAAAGTATTAAGTATTAGTAGTTCTCCGTCTATATCGAGTAAAAAATTGGACGAGAATATATACTGTGCTTAAAGTACGTGTTTTTTGAAACTATGATGCAGTAGAAGAATAATATTAGCATTAGTTGAATGAACAGAGTACGAATAACATTAATGTGCTGACAAAACTGAAAAAAAAGTGAAGAAATTATTAAAACCAAGAACACCGAGGCTTAAAATTCCGCCATATTGCTGCGCAAAAACAATAGACTCTTACTTGGGAGATTAGAGGAGCTCCAATTTAGGTCAATCTAAGAGTGAACTTCCACTGAGCAGATGCAGACTTTTTGAAGAATGCAAATAATCCTAATATAATGTGACTGATCTATAAAACGATAGATATACTACTATAGATAGAACTTAACGATATAAAATCAATGTGTTAATTGATACAAAAATTGGATACTAATGTTCTACCTAGATTAAAATATCTTTTTCGATACGACAAAGATGTTTTGATGGGATATATTATTATATTAATGATCTAACAATAAGTCAGTTTTAACGAATTAGTACAGATAAACTATGTACTAGATTGACATGACTAAGATTCCTGAAGATCTAAGAAAACTTTTAAGAACATTTTTCTGTAACTAATAGCCCGGGCAAGATCGACATTCAAGGTTACAAAAATTCGAATAGAGCTAAAAATTGTTGCGAATTTTCGGAACACCGTCATAATGGAATGTGAAAAGACGTGATCACTCCTATGTCTGCAAAAAAGTTATTCGAGGTCACCGTTCTCAAATATGGATCTTTTGGCGTTTTTAAGCCAACCATAAGTTTTATCATAAAAATACATCAAATAAATTGTAGATAATACAATTGAAAATATCATAACGATAGAAAAGCTGGATCTGTCTTCTTTATATTATGCGTACATTTCCATGTCACCTGCGAGGTAGTATACTTGACGCATTTTTAAACCTGTTTTTTTTTTCGTTATGCCTATTCCACGATCGATTTAATCAATGTCTAGTGAAAAATGAAACCTGTTTTGGGCTTTAAAATTTAACAGCAAACCACCCTCGACTATACCTGAAAAGCGGTCCATAAAACATTAAAAACTAAAATGAGTACACAAATTAGTTTTCCCTGCATTCTATATGGAAAAATAAAAAAAAATCGTGCTTTTTTCGTTTATAGTAAAAAATATTAATCTAATAGTAATTTAACCGCAATACTGTTCATGGGACTTTTGTAGAGAATCAAAAAATCATCCAAATTTTTAACCATTTAAAAAAAATCGTAATTTGGACCCTTTTAAAGCTGAAAAGCTAATTCTCTGCGTGAGGTTCTCTCTCTCTCTCTCTCTATCTCTCTCTCTCTCTCTCTCTCTCTCTCTCTATCTATCTATCTCCCTCCCTCTCTCTTTCTCTCTCTCTCCCTCTCTCTCTCTCTCAACACAGAAGGGTGATCGTGTGTTCACAACGATGTTAGGGGTCGTTTTTTTTTACATTTTGCTCCATGCTTAAATGAAAATAGAAGATATACAAGATAGAGCATAAATTTTGAATTTTAATAATATGTTTTCTAAATTAAAATCGGATATTCTGACTTCTTCTTATGTCGCCGTCTCCTTTCGAAGGTTGGCGATCCAAATGGCAACTGTAGTTTTGAAAACTGCTGCGCGAAAGATTTCTGCGGATGAGCGGTCGAACCATCTCCTTAGGTCTTTCAGCCATGAGTTCTGGCGTCTTCCTATTGATCTTTTGCCATGTACTTTTCCTTACAGTATAATTTGAAGTAATTCATATCTTTCGCCTCTCAACACATGACCCAAGTATTGCATTTTCTTCTCTTTGATTATTCTTAGTAATTCTTTTTGTTTACACATGCGACGAAGTATCTCAATATTAGTAACTCTTTGTACCCATGGAATTCTTAACATTTGTCTTAATTCAGTCATTCTGACTTATACCCATCCAAATGATCGGTGTAAAAAATATTCAAACTAAGATTTTGAAAAGACTGTTCGTCGGACAGCGTCAACTAGGCACCTGTTTACACAGCATATTAAATATAAACATTATTCAAATTAGCATAGATCAGGTTTAAAATAAAATTTTTTTTGATCGTCGGTGAAAAGCTAATTTTTGTACTTATTTTGGTTTTTAATATTCTATGAACCACTTTTCAAAAGATAGTTAAGATGGATTGCTGTTACATTTTAAAAGCCAAAAAAGGTTATGGCTTGGTTTAATTGTGATCATGTTTAATATAGTACTATTCAATAATAAAAAATGGTACTATTGGAGATTACGAAAATGGTGTGGATTCTCAGAAATTTGGGAAATTGAAAAAAT